ATCCCATGCTCTGCATGCCCATAGAAAATATACATCTCTAAACTGTGGTAAAAACCATCAAGAACTCTGTGAGTTCCCTTTGCACAAATCAGACATGTTAGGACTGAATCCTTCTAACTCGATCAAGCAAAGCAAGCCATCAAAACCTAAGAGCATCGCCGCAAAATACCTGAAAGAACTCATTACCTCGAACACACACAAGGAATTAATCATATCCTTACCATACCGATTCAGTCTACTATCAAACTATTCCATCTATCTAAATTTCCTTCTGATTCATTTTCAACTTGATATTCTCTCTTACTGTAGTACCACAATTCCTCAACCCAGGCTCACCACACGAGGCCCAAGCACAAGACCACACTGTCTAAGACCTATAAGCCGCTGAATACTCACTCAATTACTCCCAGAAACACCACATTCCAAAACACTTTACTCTGAGGAACTTCCTGCTAATCTAAATCTGTTACCTTTGTTTTCCTGATACTGATACATAGATTCCTTTATTCAATATAGAAATATCACAAGTCTTGACCTCTTCCCATGAAAACACAGTTTCTAACCCCATATACAACTTTAAGATACCCAATTGTTACATGTAGAACCTCGAACACATTAGAACTATTCTCGAGAGTCACTCACTCTCTTCAAACTACAATTAGCCTGATCAAACGAACAGAACCACCCATGCCTCATTAGCACTCTGACACCGCAGAATGAAATCCTCATCCCAACATATCTAGGCAACTTCCTGCTCTATGCACCGAGCATTCCTTAACAACAACAACTTAAGACACCCCGTGATTTTTCTTACTCTATAAAGCATAATATAACCTTTGTCAAATTTTTTCCTCTACTCGAGTTATCCTCAGTCTCAATATCCGCAAGCCATAACTGATTCGCCCGTACGCCTCAAACTGGAACCAACATAGCACCTAACCGTGCAACCAACTACTCACAGCAAACTCCCCCAGTTGGCTCGGTGCAATAGATCAAAATACACTTGATAACTCATAACACTTATACTCTATTGATGCCACAATACCATAGTGAGATTAAGCTCAAATCCTTTTGTAAGCTTGTGAAAACACAGATCATCTAGTATTTTAAATCTTCTGCAAATCTCGTATTCATCCCCACAACAGTTAAGCCCACTCTCTTAAGCGACCCGAAATTTCAAATTTCAACACGCACTTTTCACTTACACATGAAATCTTCTAACATACACATAAGGATCACACCACTTCAGAACACTTCGCAAGAGATAACCCACCTGCTTCGCCTCAATCTAACATTTCTGTATACCTTCCACCGTCATATACATTACACAGTCGCTTGGTCTTCCTAAGTTTGAACTCGTACCGCAACATAAAATTTACTTCACTCTCAACTGGAAAACATGAAAAGATTCTTCACGCGCCCATAACTCAGGGCTATACTTCGAATCAAGATGGAATTCAAGCACCTAATAGTTCTTTTATCCTCCATCCGGCCTTCCTCGTTAGTTCCAAGTCGCATAGATACATCTCGCAGTACTAATATACTCACCACACAGTTATCCAGCCGTCACTTCCACTAATAGGGGCAATACTGAATATATAAGTGCAACACACTTGCTCAAACAATCAGCACCTCGGTGCTCAAGCCACAGGCAAAGATCCGGCCTCAAGTTCTCTAGACTAGCCCAATATCAAACTCACAGAGATCACATCTCGCCCCTTGATCAGGGAATCACAAGCCATCAAGGCACGTCTGATACTGAGCGCTCATGCGCGAGCGCGTGGAAGGAATTTCAAGAGTTGCTTTTCAAGCTGGATCAAAGACGCACAATAAGAATTCAAGAATGTGAAGTTTTTCCTAAAGGTTGCAGCCTCTCGAGGATAAATACAGACGTCTCTGTACCGATCCGCGAGACTCTACTAAACCTTCTCATGACTCGTGAGACCTATGTAACCTAGGTTTTGATACCAACTTGTCACGACCCAATCCCCGATCCGGTCGTGATGGCGCCTCTCGTGAAGACAATGCCAGCCAACTAAACCTAATACATCCTATTTAAAGTGGTTAAACAGTTCAAAAGCAGTTTAAATGTGATTAAATGATAATAATTAGCGGAAGTACAACCCGACATAGCCCAAACCGGGGTGTCACAAGTCACGAACATCTATTATAGTATAAATACAACTTCAAGGCCTGAAACATATAAAATAGGACTGATAAACAAAAGGAAAAGATGCGGTGCTGCGAAGGTTGGCAGTCACCTCACTAAACTTCGATAACTTAGCCTCCAACCAGCTCAAAACCCGCTACCGGGTGAACAAATACCTGCATCTGCACACGAGGTGCAGGGAGTAAAGTGAGTACTCCAACTCAGTGAGTAATAAAGGTTAATAATAACTGAGCAGTAAGAAATCACGAAAAATGCATCAACATATTGTATAGAGCGGTCTAAAACACTTTGAATAAAAGCAGTGAAACTGTGAAATCCTTGGAAAAAACATCTTAGCTCAGTTTAAACCTCTTTTAAAAAAATGACTTTTTCAACTGTTACGCAAATGAATACAAACAAATAGTGCAGATAAGCACGAAAATCCGCCCCTCGAGCACAACACTTAATTAACAGATAAATGTTAGACGATCAGATAGATATCACGTGAAGTAGCACAAACAACAGATAATGGCAGACAGATGAAGTAAAGTAAACACGTAGAACAGTACTAACACCGCTACAACGGGCAGCCCGATCCATATATCGTTGCGGCGTGCAGCCCGATCCATATATCGTTGCGGCGTGCAGCCCGATCCATATATCTCGTCGACGGCGCTCACTGGGGGTGTGCAGATTCCGGGAAGGGCCCTTTACGGCCTAAGCGCAATATCAAGCCATCTCGTGGCATCAAATCTAGGCCCTCCGCCTCATATCAATATCAAGTGCGTGTCTCACCTCAATATAGCACTACGATATGCGAATCCGGGGTTTCAAACCCTCAGGATATCATTTACAATCATTACTCACCTCGAACCGGTAAAATCTCTAGCTCGCGACGCCTTTGCCCCTCAAATCGGCTTCCACGCACGTCGAATCTGTCCAAAATCAGAACGAATGCATCACAATATGCTAAGGGAACAAAGACCAAGCAAAAAATCAATAATGGGCACAAATCCCGAAATTATTAAAAACCCAAGCCCCGGGCCCACTTTTCGAAACTTAGAAATTTTTACATCACCGGGTGCCTTATCCTTCCACGATTTTATACATATCAACAACATCAAAATCGGAGTTCAAATGACCCCTCAAATCCTCCATTAAAGGCCTCTTAAACTCAAGCCCTAATCCTCCATTTTTAGCCCTTTAAACCCATTAGTTACAGCCCTAAATTTATGAAATTCTACAATATGAATGTGTTTTAAGTCCAAAATCCTTACCTCAACGAAGTTTCTTTGATTCCTCTCTTCAAAATCGCCCAAAGCTCCCAATTTCGAGTGCAAAAATGGTTAAACCCTTCAAATATCGCGAAGGAAAACATACATACATTCTGCCCAGACATGACCGCATCTGCAGTCCAAAATCCACTTTTGCGGTACTATATATGCGGTCAACACATCCGCTTCTGCGGAGTTCATTAAACCGGCCTAAGCCGCATCTGCGAACCACTTCCGTATCTGCGCTTCCGCAGATGCGATCCCTTTAATCACTTCTGCGGTCCAGCTCGCCTCACCCATTTTCGCTTCTGCGATGATACACCCGCATCTGCGGTCCACAAACCGCAGATGCGGAAATACCAGAAGCAACAAATCTAAAGCTGCAACACAAATTCCAATTTTCCCGCCAACCATCTGAAATCACCCCGAGGCCCCCGGGGCCTCAACCAAAAGCACGAACATGACCGAATACCTTATTCAAACTTGTTCCAATCATCAAAACACTTCAAACAACATCAAATCCATCAATTCACATCGAATTCAAGCCTAAGTTTTCTAAAAACTTCTGAAATACACTTTCGATCAAAAACTCGACCAAACCACGTCCGAATGACCTGAAATTTTGCACACACATCACAAATGATATAACAAAGCTACAGTAACTCTCGGAATTCCATTCCGATCCTCGGATCAAAATCTCACCGATCAACCAGAAATCGCCAAAATACTAACTTCGCCAATTCAAGCCTATTTCTACTCCAGGCCTCCAAAACCAATTCCGATCACACTCCTAAGTCATAAATCACCCAACACAGCTAACCAAATCATAAAAATTCCGATCCGAACTCATATACAAATAAGTCAACTCTTGGTCAAACCTTTCAAATTCAAAGCTTTCAACTGAGACTGTTCTTTCGAATTCATACCGATTTCTGTGAAAACCAAAATCAACGACTTACATCAGTCATAATACATCATATGGGGCAAGTCATGCCCGAGAACTGGCGATCAAAGTGCAAAAGCTCGAAACGACCGGTCAGGTCGTTACAACTCTAGTCTTATTTTTAGTGAAATTTTTTATTTTCTTAAAATTTCACATAAAAGCTTTTCAAAAAGTGACACTGGCCATGTACGCAAACCAAGAAATATTAATCGAAGCTAATGGAGGTCTCAAAACACGAAAATAAAGGCCGGTGCTCAGAATGACCAATCGGGTTGGTCGTCACGCAATCTATCCTCTGGTTGTTTCCGCTTTATTAAAAGAAACTCCATTAGGGGCCTCCTTAGTTTCTTTATGAAAATTGTGAGAAGAAGAAAACGCCTTACTCAATTTCCTGGCTAAATCATGTTCTTGCTTCTCGATAATTAGAAAGGGATTTCACTTTCCCGCTGTTGTTCGTCCCATGAGCCATGAATAGTTAAGAGTATCATTGGCATATGTCATTTTTTTGCTTATACGATTTAGGCATTCTTAATTTGTGGGTTTGATGTTATCAACAACTTTTTTTTTCTTCTTTTGGCTGAACAGAAATGACATGCTTCTAGCGCATAGAGAGGGTTTTTATTCGTTAGCTGCTTAGTGAGTAATGATCATATGAACAAGCTGGATTCCATTTTAAGGTACTTAAAAAGCCTTGCTATGCCACATATGGCTTGAGAAAGGAAGACGAATAAAAAAATAAATAAAATATGAACATTACAATATCAGCACAAAGGAAATAGTTGTGGACGGAGGAAAGGCAAAGACCAGCTATAAGCTTCTACCAATCTGCCATTGGAAGCCATCTCAAAGACCAGTTTCTTCAACACCCTAAAAGGGCACGCCATGAATCCCGGCCAGTGAATCACTGTACGCGAGCCAAGACAGAATCCCCGACGCTTTCCCAGCCGTATAGTGTTCCCTTTTCGCCGCCTCACACGGCGTCGAGGCCTGCACCATCCCAGTATCACACTTGAGTTGGACAATTGGGAAGACTCAAGCATGGCTGCAGTTAAAGCTGAATTTTCTAGCAGCTAGCTAAACGTTAAGTACTTAGGGTGGCTAGAAATGGCTGTCGTATATATAGGTGTGTCATATGTGTGTAAAGTTTAGGTGGAGAGGCCTAAATATGGGCTTGATTATGTCCATATCCCAAAAAAATATTAAATGTATAAATTTAACTATAAGGTGATTAGATAGGAGCTTTTTTGCGGTTGTTTAAATTTTGGTAAACAGAGTTATTTGATATTTGTGCTGACAAAATAGCAAGTACACAGTTTAACAGTCGAGATACGTACATACAGTTTGGTCCGAACATCACTGTTATTAAAAACATTAATAAAATCACAAATCAACTCTAGATTTTGAATTTGGCTATGTGTGTATATGGAAGGTGAAGTTAGAAGTAATAATGATGAGGTCATTATAATAGCAATAATAAAAATCAATATTCAATAGTTTATGTACTGATGAAGCTGATGAACCATTAAATATTGTTGGAAAAGAAGGAATTTGGTTTTTTAGGGCATCTTTAGAGCTGGGTTGTCATCATTAGCGAAGATGGCGTTTTATTAAAAAACAAAAGAGATGAGATTTCCTAGATACAGTAGCAGGATTTCCGGAATAATACGGAGTAGTTCCTTATTTTGTTTCATTTTTTCTTTAGCAAAGTAGTTGTCCAAATATCTTTTTCTTCTGGTGGGGCCATGGAAAAATTGCTTTTTAGTTTTACCATTCAATAAAGCGATCACCGGGAGAAATGGTTTTACCACTGATTGCTTTTGTGTAGAAAGTTTAGTTTTAGTTTTACCGAAAAAAATTTATTTTGTGACTCACAGAACGACACTAATCACTCTTTTACCATTAATAATTATTCACTACTATTGCTTTTACCGTGCATGAGAAAACATGCAAGCCTATTACTGTACGTAATAACAACATTTGGATATATAAAGTACAACTGTTTATAATCTTGGAAATACACCAGTAACTGAGGGATTTGACCTAGAAGGAGTGAATTCTAATGCTCATGTCAAAATAACGATGGAAGATGTAAAAGAGGAAATAGAATACTGGCAAACTGCGGTTGTATGCTTTGTGCTGGAGTCAAATCCGCCTTTAACAGTGGTGGAGGGGTATTTCAATCGTATATGGAAGGATTTGGGAATTGATAAGGTAGCTCAAATTAATAAAAGAGTATTCATGGTCAGATTTCACAGTAATGAACGGCGTACGAAGGCAATTGAAGGGGGAGTGCAGATATTTGATCGAAAACCAGTGATAATTAAGCCATGGAAACCAGGAACAGAGATAATGAATGTAACAGTGGAACAGGTGCCTATATGGATTCGACTACTGGGCCTAGATCTAAAGTAATGGGGGCAAGCAGCTCTAACAAAAATAGCTGGGCTGGTGGGGAAACCTGTGAAGGCTGATACAACAACAACGAGAAAGGAGAAACTCATGTATGCAAGGGTAATGGTGGAGGTTCCTTTGAACAAAGCATATCTAGATTCAGTGATGTTTGAAAATGAATTGGGACAAATAATCGAACAGGAAATAGAGTATGAATGGAAGCCTACAATGTGTCAACAATGCAAATTGTTTGGGCACACAGACCAGCAATGCAGAAGAGTACAACAAAAACCACGAGCAGAACAAGTAAGAAAAGAGTGGAAGCCAGTGGAGAGGAATGAGCAAAAAGAAAAGCCATCAATAGCAGGGGAAAGCATGGAACAAAAGCCAAAGAATGTACAAAGAAAAGCTTTACAGAAGCAGATTATCATGACAGTAAGTAACTCTTTCTCAACACTGGAGGATCATGGGGAAGAGCAAATTGCAGAGGAGAGTGCTAGAGAGAAAACAATGACAGACAGGAGAAATAAAGCTAAAGGAATTATACAAGGAGAAGGTACTCACCAAAAAAAAAGGCAGCTCAACAGTAAGCTACCAGAGGGGAGTACAAAGGTAAATAGAGATGGGTCCAGGAACAGGGAGGGGAGGTACAAACACCCTCCAAAATGGATAAATTGGGATTTTGGAATGTGAGGGGTCTAAACAGGCAAGACAAGCAGAAATGAATCTGTTCTTACACAATACTAAGGTAGGCCTGTTTGGATTCCTGGATACAAAAATTAAGAGACAGAAAACATCTTTAGCTTCTCTTAATCTTTGTAATGGATGGTCTTTTAGTCACAATCTAGCTCATCATCCAGGTGGAAGAATATGGGTGCTTTGGAAAACAAATATATTCTCTGTAAATATCACTGATGTATCAGCACAAATGATGCATTGTGAGGTAGAACATAGAGGGACTCAACACAAGTTTCAGATAATATTTGTGTATGGGTTTAATGACCAAGCTTTAAGAAGACAATTATGGCAAGAGTTGGAGAAAATTCATGGTGTCACTAAAAAACCATGGGCAGTTATGGGAGATTTCAACTGTGTATTGAATAGAGATAAAAGGGTGGGGAGTCCAATCACAGTTTCAGAAATAAAAGAATTCAAAGAGTGTGTAGGGAGATGTTCACTACAAGAACTTAAATCATCTGGATCCTTTTTAACATGGAACAATAAACATGGAGACAATAGTAGAGTCCACAACAGGATTGATAAAGTGCTAGTTAATGGAGATTGGGTGATGAAATTGCCAGGATCAGAAGTTCACTTTGGAAATGAAGGACTCATGGACCATTGTCCAGCTCTGATTAACTGGGATCAAGGACCTCAAAGTGGATAGTACAGATTCAGATATTTCAACATATAGAGTCAAGCCACTGACTTCAAACAACAAGTGGAATATAGTTGTAATAAGGGGATTACAGGTACTAAGCAGTATAGATTGGTGGGGAAGCTGAATAGGCTGAAAGCCACTCTGCAAGGAATAAGAAGAACTTAATTTGGTGATGCAGAAGGGAAAGATGTGCAGGCAAAAACAGAGCTAGAGGAGTGCCAAAAGAAACTACAGAAAGATCCTTTAAACATAAGGTTGATTGAAGAAGAGGCAAGACTAGCTAAACAATATTCATACTGGAACCTGACACGGAACCGGTACCTAAAGTAGAAGTGTAAAATACATTGGCTGAACTCAGGGGATATGAACACAAAAATTTTTCATAGCATACTAAAATCTAGAAGAAATGCTAACGGAATTTTCACTATAAAAGACACTGAAGGGAGAACAAGAAATGATATAGAGGGGATTACTGATGCTTTTGTGAAATATTACTCTACTCTACTTGGCACTAAAACTGAGAATAGAAGAAGGGTATGCAGTGCTACTGTTAAAAAAGGACATGTAGTCTCAAAGGAACAAAGATGTATATTGGTTGAAAAGTTTACAACAGATGAAATGAAACAAGCTTTATGGGAGATAGCTGGAGATAAAGCACCTGGACCAGATGGCTATGGAAGGCAGTTTTTCAAGGATTGCTGGGAAATAGTTAAAGAGGATCTTGAAGCAGGAATAATGGAGTTTTTTAAAACAGGGAAATTATTGAGGGCATGGAATAGCACTGTGTTGACTCTAGTACCAAAATCAGATCATGCAGACACAATAACAGACTACAGACCTATAGTTTGTTGCAATACAATCTATAAGGTAATATCTAAGATGTTAGCAAACAAGTTGAAGAAAGTCCTACCAGATATCATATCCCCCAATCAAAGTGCCTTTGTGGCCGGAAGAACCATAGCTCAGAACATACTAATATGTCAAGACTTGGTAAGACTGTATAATAGAAAACAAACCACAAGTAGCTGTCTGATAAAAATAGACTTGAGGAAAGCTTATGACACAGTAAAATGGGAGTTTGTAACTGAAATGTTGCATGCACTGGAATTCCCTCAGCAATTTATCAAATGGACTATGACATGCATCACTACAGTGCAATATGCAATTGCAATCAATGGAGGTTGTATGGGAACATAAAAAGGGAAAAAGGACTTAGACAAGGGGACCCTATATCCCCACTGATCTTTGTCATTTGCATGGAATATTTCACAAGGATAATGAACATAGTTACAGAGCAGGTGGGATTTGAATATCACACTAAATGCAAACACTTGAAGTTGAATCATTTGTGCTTTGCAGATGATGTGCTACTATTTAGTAAAGGAACCTTTCAATCAGTGCTACTACTATTGAGGGGCTTGAAAACATTCTCAGAAACTTCAAGCCTAACTACAAATGCAAACAAGTCAAACATTTTCAGTGTCAATATGCCAAACCAGCACCAGAAGTATTTGATAGACATGACAGGATATCAGAACGGAAATCTGCCATTCAGGTACCTTGGTGTGCCTATATCAGCTAAGAGACTATCTAAAATGGATTGTGAAAACTTATAGATAAGATAGCAGCTAGAATCAAAGGGTGGGGTACAAGACATTTGTCTTATGCAGGAAGGGTGCAACTAGTGAATTCAATACTACTTCACATTCATAGCTACTGGTCAACCATATTTTTACTCCAAAGCAGGTGCTAAAAGGGATAACTGCTATGTGTAGAAATTTTATCTGGGATGGGAAACCTGTCACACAAAAACCACCCCTAGTGGCATGAGATCTAGTATGCAGGGCAAAACATGAAGGAGGTTTGGGGATAACAGATATAATAAAATGAAATGAAGCCGCTGTTGCAAAATATGTATGGAATATTACCCAAAAAACTGATAACCTATGGGTGAAATGGATCAACACTGTCTACTTAAAGGAGAAGGATTGGGGCAGTACAAATGCTCCACTGATGTTAGCTAGTATTGGAAGAAAATATGTAGAATCAAGGAAATATTTGCTCCAGGCTATAATCAGAACTTATGGAGCAATGCCAATGGAAAGTACACAATAAAGGGAGGATACACATGGAGAATGGGAGAAAAAGAGAGCTGGACATAGAGAAGATGGGTATTGAATAGCATGAACCTACCCAAGCACAACTTTATTTGCTGGATCACTATGCATCAAAGGCTGCTGACAAAGTCCAGATTGTACAGCATGGGCATTAGCCAAGAAGATAGATGCCCAATATGTGGAACAGAAGAGGAAACCACCCAACATTTATTCTTTGAATGTGTATATTCACAGCAATGCTTAAGGGAGGTGTTACAATGGATGAACATAGGCATACAAAATACAGAGATAACAGGGATCTGGAGAAGAGTAACCAGACTACTTAAAGGGAGAAGATGCAGGGAAGTTGCCACTGCTATATTGGCTGCCTTGGTGTACTGGATATGGAAAGCAAGAAATATTGTTGTATGGGATTTCAAACTACCTACAACTACATACATTGTAAGGCAGATAAAACAAGAATGCAGAATGAGGAAGAGCACCTATTTGAAGAGCAAGACAAGCATTCAAGAAAGAGAATGGATTGAGAAAATCATGCAGAAATAGAAGAACGTATAAATAGGAAGAAATGTTTTGAATACATAGCTTAATATATATGTATATAGAAAAAAATAGGAGGAAAAGGAAAGTACTGAGGAAAAAGCTTGTAACAGATTTGCGGTGATGAAATAAAAAAAATTTCTTCGCCAAAAGAGAAAACTGTTTATAATCAGCTTCAACTGCATGCAAGTGAGATTTTGGTCCAACAGTATCATACTTCTCGAACCATATATATTTGTATGGGTGACAAGGATGGGAAAATATCATCATGAAGCAATAACAATAGTAGAAAGAATCACTATTCCTTTCTATAAACATTGATTTTTTAGAAGGATGATCGAGACATTGCATGTTCCTTGCCCTTATTCTCGTCTTCTTCTTCATGTCTCTGCCCGTAGTTATAGACGCGCTCTTTCAAATAATTTACACTTCCAAATGAGGTGATTATACATTTTAACATAATATTAGTAAAGCAGACATGAGTCTTGAGTTCAAATCTTACCATTGCCCGTTATTATTATATACATAATACACACGTGATTAACTCGTGAAAATAATCCGACTTGCATATAATGCAAGTCTCGAAGACATAATCAAATAGGAACAATTAATTAAAAGTATGTTTTACTAATATTTTAAACCTTTAAATGAGATGATCACCTATTTAAGATAATAGACCTTGCACATCGAATGACCCTTCTATCCTTTCGCTCATCTCCTCCCTCCCAGGTCACTCTGAAATTCTATTTCCAATCTCTTTCTGTATTCCGTAACTGCTCATTATCAATGTAATATACAATAAATCAGTTACAATCTAATAACAAATACATCTTCATGCCCGAAATTTTTGTTTTCAAAGAGTCCTTTAATATTAAGCATGCCAAAAAAATATTATTCATTAATACAGAAAAGAGTTGATTAGTTGGAAAAAATATTTTGTGTCAGGAAGTTTATGTTTCGTTGCAAGGAAATTGAATTTTATTGTAACGTTATCTAAATTTGTCTCATCAAAAGATGAATTTATTGAGACGAAATCAAGTTTTGATACACTTGATTAGACTTCAAGACGAAGTTAATCAAATTACATTATGTCCTGATAAGTGTCTAAGCTAATCTGGTTTCAAAGCAAAAATGTCATACTTGTCTTGTTGGGAAAAATCAGTTTTTGAGGTATTTTTTAGGGGAAACATATAAAATTGTTTGGCAGGTTGAAATTAATTGTATGTGCTAAACAAAAAGTATATAAAATATGTATATTTTTGTATATAATGTACATATATACAAAACTATATTGTTTATCCCAAAATTAGGCAACAATTAAATTTGTGCGTAGTTTAAAAGATACGTGGTTTAATTCAACGCGGATAATTAAGAATAGCAGATAAATGAATTAAAGACAAAATAAATTAAACTATCAAACCAATCGCAATGTTATCACCAAGCTTGATCTTGAATTGAACAGCGACCTCGTCCTTCATTCGACTCTCGGTTTGAGCCTAGTCGTGAATGAAAAACAGTACAAGTAAGCAGAGTTCTTAACAACAGCTAGAAGGTAAAAATAAATTTTATTGCCTTGAATTGTGTATTACACCATGTGAGACTAAAGAAAAACTTCCCTTTTATATAATAAGAGAGTTTCAGTTATAGTAAAAACTAAAAAGGGTAAAAATCTTCTTTTCCTGATAATTGTTGATCCATTATCGACATCGAGTGAGATTTGTGTCATGATATCCGGTTGATGGCGGGTATCACGACCCTCCATCTGTCATGCATAACCGTTCAGCGTGTCTCCCGAGGTCTAGAAATTACACTCGGCCCGGGGAATCGAGGTAGACACCACCCTTGATTTTATCCGTATATAGATAGTCTCCTTGTTTTCCGAAGAGTAGATTTATCAGAGCGATGGGAAGCAATAAATGATCCCCATTTCCTTCCTTCGTATGTCACGACCAGGTTACTGGGTCAATGAAACATCCCATCAGTCACGTCGTTATGACTTCGGACACGTGTCAGCCACCGGTTGACTGTCCTCGAATGCGAAACGTCACGTATTGACTGTTCTCCCTATGTAAAAGCTACTGACCCCCTTTTAACTTCCCCGCTATCTGATTCCAGAACTCTTGGAATTACCCTCAAATCTTCTACTTGCCTTTGACTTCTGCCAATCTTTACACATTGCTCTATAGATCATCATATCTTCATCCCATCTTCAAATCTTCATAGATTTTCTTTGAATCTTCAATCCAGACCTTCATATCTTCATCCCATCTTCAAATCGTCATAAATTTTCTTCAAATATTCATATTCCCCAGAACTCGATGGAGAAAACATCCAAATTCGTACCTCAGA